CTATGATATAGAAAATAATTATGGCCTGCAAACTAGTTTAATCAACTTAGAACATGCTGGGACAGATTCTCAGCCACAGTGAGTCATTACAAGAAAGTTCACAGTCTTGGTATACAGACTGTATGAGCAAATATGATTACCCCATGTCAGCTGAGTCTCAGTAACTCTGTATGTGTGCTCTTTGTGTGCCCAAATAGTGAGGTAAGGCATGCTTGTTTAAAGCACTTTAGCTGGTGTTTAAACTGTATCAAATTACTTTATAAAAGCATAAATTGCTTCAAGAACATGTATGAAGCCAGTTAAGATGTCTCAGCTGGCGAGTGGCAACTTATTAAATTGTGTCGTCTTCATTCTGCTGTAAACAGCTATGGAAAGTCATCAAATGCTATGAAGAGTCAGTATGTTCTGCCCTTCCAAACACTGGGTGGATCTTGCATTACAATGCAGTTTAAAAGGAAAAGCTCGCTAGGAAATGGCTGCAATGCAGACATCCTGTGCAGAAAAAGAAAAAACTCTCTGAAGAGGAACAAAACAAACCAAATGTAACTATGGCTATTGCAAGAAAACACTGAAAGGACAAAAAAAAGTCAGTTAACTGTGTGCGTATTATTATAAACTGTCTGATAATTGTTACTAGCACTTTGTGTTTTGTTGTATGTTCCATATCTCAAAACACACTCTAAATTCCTGTGGACTACAGCTTGCAACATCCCAGCAAAGCCTGGTCACTTGACATGGGTGGGGACCAATAAGTACTCAGCAGGAGGTTGAGGACCTGAACCTGAGGGGTAGGTCTTCAGCTGATATAAACTGACATAGATCTGCAGCAAACGGAAGGACACAGACCTCATTGCCAACTCTGAGGTTGAACCTTAAAGCCCAGGTGTAAAATTCACCTGCTTTGAGCTTTCTTGACCAACATAGCCAACACAGTCTTGATTTCGAGAATGCAAACTCATCAGATGCTGTGGGAATCATCAGTATCAAAGCCAGTGATGCGGCAAGAAGGTCTTACGGGCCCTTATGGCTGAATTTCACAAATTAACTATCGGTTTTTACTTTGATTATCTCTTGCTCCCAACAGCTTTCCTAGTAAACAACCACCCCAGTCTACAAATGTAGAATGAGCATTGTTTTCATACTTACTTCCTTCTTTTAGATTTTTGTTTTTTAATTTTATGCTGATATCTTCTGTTTTATATGATATGGAAGAGTTATTTCTTTTCTTTCTCCTTAATAATCTCACAAATTTCAAGCCATTTTATTTACCTTCTCTCTTAACTAAACATCCTTAGTGTTTTCAGTTTTTAGTAGGAAGTTAATGATTGTATATCTTATCTGTAAATTGAGTCTATTTTTGTCATAGCCTTTTTTTTTTTTTTAAGCCAGAACTGAACATAACATTCCAGCTGAAGGTGTAGCAACAGGATAGAGGATAGGTTTTTTTGTTTTTGTTTTTGTTTTCTTGTGTACCATTTTCCAAGCCATCATTTGCATCTCTTAATTTTATGCTCTAATTGTGCATTAAGGTAGATGTCTTAATTGTTTCAAAATTATAATATTTTAATGTAAATCTCCTGTTGCATGGAAAACTGAGTATTTCTGAGTCTGAGGAAGATCAGATTTCCCTGCTGTCTACTCAGTAAAGACTGGGAGCCACAGTAAAACTAAAATCTCACTCGTAGTATCTGAGTTGGACCTAGTTAATTCACCATGTGGGCAGAATGTATTTGCAGTCACCATACCTTTCCTGACTCTGCTCTTTCTGGACTTTTAAAAAGATATTTTTTTAATCAACACCAGAACTAGAAGCAGAATGATTGCTATACTGCTGTGATCCTCAGCTTGCATCTCTGTGTGACCCTGTCATGTGGAAGTCCTGCCACGTGCTTGAGGATCCCCACCACGTGCTGCATGATTGTGCGGAGGGAAGCAAGTTTGAAGAATTTGTTAGAACTGGCTAATAAAAGTGCAGATGATAAAAAACAAACAAACAACAACAACAAAAGAAACCTCCTGCATCTACAAGCTCAATTCCCTGCTGTTGCCCAGGCTTGGCTGCTCTTGCTGGCCAGCCTGCTGAGGTTTGGACAGAGTCCCATGCTAGGTCCTACCCTGTAAAGGTGAGTTATAAGAGGGCATACAGATGTGCGGGAAGTCCACCAGGAATATCTTCCAGACCTCAGTGCCCTGGCACCCACAGAGCTGTGTGAATAGAGTGGTAAACTGGCACAGTTACAAAAGTGGGTCAACTAACCTATTAGGTATTCCAGGTCAGGTAATAAGAAGCAAATAAGCCCTCCACATTTCCTACACTACAGATGGGTAAATTTAATGTACTGGCATTTATTCCCAACTATCCTGCTAAAGGAATGTGCTTCAAAATGGCTTGTGCTGTAGTGGACACAGTCAAGTGCTTTTGGTGGAGGAAAATAAGTCAGTAACCCCCAAAAGGTGCAGTATTAATGGAGCTAATGTTTCCCTCCCCTACCTAATGCAGTAACTACTATTCTCTAGGGTAAAGTTTAAGAAATAATCAGCCAAGCCTTTGTATAGCTTGTGGTTTGGCCTCCTGCCCTCTCTGCTCATCAAGCAGGAAGTTCTCAAAGGCGAGTGCTTTGTGAAGCTACCTTAAGACTCTGCCTCTTTTTTTCAGTCAGAACTTAGCACTAGGTCATCTGGAACTCCTGGAAGCTGACCAGTCAGACTGATGGTGCCTACAGAAGATATTTAAACAAATTCTCTACCTTGATCATTTCCCCTCATCTTTTGTCCTGTACATCCTTGATTGTTGTTATTCAGTCCTGAGATAATATGCTCCTGATATCACTGAGATGGGAGAGACAAGCAGGGAGGAAGAGATCAAAGAGAGGAGATGGAAGAGAAGATGCCAAAGGCAAAAGAAGTGGGAAGAAGCAAAATATTTCAGAGATTTATCTACTTTACATACTTGGTATGCAACGTTTCAGAAATTCTGAATATACTTCATTTTTAGAGTTCTGGTGGTATCACAGCCACTAGACAGCAGGAGACTGTTAAGAGAAGCCATGGGGACCCTCTTTCTATAGCTTTCAAGATGCATCCAGGAAGCCCAAGGAGGTCTGTAAGTACGGGTAGACTTGAAAAGAAACTGTACAGAGCAGGCTGGAAAAAAACATGTATAGTTATAAAATATCTTTCTGCTTCCCTCTGCTGGCCAGATAACACACATACCAATGTAAGTCCTACCAGTCAGGGAAGGATCAGTGTGAAGAGTATTGAAAGATAGGAGGAGTCATTTTTCTATTACTACACAAGCTTTAACTCTGCTGATTTATTTGAATTTGCTCTTGAATTTCAGAAAATGTGCAGGATACTTCTGTATCCAGGGAAGCTCAAGAAGGCTGGAAAAGCGACCATGGATAAAGCTGGGCTGGTGAGAGATAGGGAGATAGTATGGATAAAGGTAATTTCAAGGTTTAAACTACTAATATTGCTTTACCATTTACCTCGTACTGTTATCAGTTGTGATTTCAAAGTTAATTTAACAACCACAATCTAAACTTAGTTGCTATTCTTGGTTACAAAACAGGACCATTATGAGTTGCAAAAAAAAAAAAAAAAAAAAAAAATCAAAAACGACAACATGAAACACTGTTCTTATTTGCCTTGTATATTAAAGTAACTTTGATTGAGAATTAAATCCTTGTTTTTTTTTTTTTTTTCCTGAGCTTGAGATTATGTTCCTGTGTTGCTTATAAAGACTGGAGGAAATTTGGAAACCTAAAAAGAACAGCCAGTAGTAATAAAACTGAAAATGGAGATACAGAAAACACGTAACTGCAATGCCAGCTTTCATTTCAAATAGGATGCATAAGTAAAAGGCACATCTGACACTGATGCTGTATTCAAGTAAAAAAATCAGCATTTTTGCATTTAATTTTCCTATTTTATTTAAAAGCAAAGGGGGGGGGGGGGGGCGGGGTAGGAAGCTCTTTGAAACACTAATGTTGGTGGCTCAGTGTAGCTTTTGCAGATTGTTGTGCACCTTAACAGTGCACTTTACAGCACTGATTATCCCTAAACTGCACATCTGAAGGCCTGGGATCAAAGGCCCCTTCTCGGCAGAGGTGTGGTGACTGTCCTGAGGTAGGGATGTGGCAACCAGCTCCGGTTCTGGTCTCCTACAGCCATCACAACAAAAACATGGACACCTTGACTGATCAGGATAAGGCATAGACCTGCACTGGCAATAATGCTGCACTACTGAATTCAAATTCACTGTAGCTCGGTGAGAAGGGAGAGATGCTGCTGAGCAGAGGTAGTGCGTACCCTGTGACAGTCATTGCTGGGGAGAGGGCTGTGTATAGGACGAGGAATTGCTCAGTGCCGTCAGAGAGCCCGCAGCGAACTTCCCACTACCTCACTCAATACACAGCCACCGGGAAGCCGGGAGTGGTAGCGCTCCCCATCCCCCTGTGCTGGTCCAAATGTTTCCAAGGAGTTCAGCTTTGCCTTTCATGCACACCCAACTGATAGCGATATAAATTTCTCCGGGCATCACTTCGTACTGACTGTCTTCATTAATAAATACTGTGCTTTGAAAGAAAATCACTCGCGTCGTTGGGATTTCCCTTCTCCAGCTGCGAACGATTCACTGCACGGTACCGGGCGGGACCTTACGATCCGAGGCACCTCGTGCTGCTCCAGAACAGCCACGAGATTCGCGCACCCAACACAACGAACTTTAACGGGACCACCGTTTCGCTTCCGAAGCAAACGAAACCGAACCGCCAGAACCGCACCATCGTAGGCCCCTCCCGGCAACGGGACACGCAATTCCCATCCTGCTATGCGGCGCGGCGCACTAAACGAGCAATAGCCCCAGTTACCGCGACAGTGGCCGGCCCCCAATCTGCACCAATCATCAGGCCTGTTTCTCTCAAAATTCCGGTAGACCTCCAATCACAGGGAAGCTCTCAAAGCAGCCCCGTGCGCAGCTGGTTAAGGTGGCTTGAGGCTGGCGACTGGCGCATGCGCATTAAGGTGACTCTAGAAGCGGAGTGCCCGGGTGCGGCGGTCTTCCTGTGGGACGGGAATGCCGTGGAATTGGGGAGTGCTCTCTGCTGCTTTCAGGACCGGGCTCTAGGAATGTCTTGGCCGTAGGTAAGGTGCTGCTGCTGTTAGAGGTTCTCCTTGGGTCGAGGGCTTCCCTCCGCCTCAGGTGAGCAGGGCTAGGCGGCGACAGAAGCTGCGGGCCGCCGGGTGAGTGCGGCGCGGGGCTGAGGCTGCGCGGGGCGGGCCGTGAATCTTAGCGATCTCTGCTCGGCAGGCACGGTGTGGGTCTGAGCTGCGCGCTGAAGCCGTAGGTCGGACTGAGGAACGCTCGGCAGCCCCGTTGTGGGCAGCCCCGGGTGAGCCCTCACCTGTTTGTCGGTCCGCGCCCTGATGCAGCGTGTGGCCCTTTGTGCGAAGGGATCTTTTCACCACGTCTGTCCCTTAGGGCCACGGATGCTTTCTGAGGTCTTTAATGGAAGGAGCCGCCGTGGTGCGGGACCGGGGACCGGTTTGTGCGTATGGTGCTGTGCGGTGAGTTTGGTCCCGGCAGTCCCGCCTGGAGCCGCGCGATGTGGTGACGGCCCCCCCGGCGGCACCAGGAGCCGCTCAGAGCGTGGGGTTGTGAGGCCGACGTCGTGCGGTGTCCTGAGCTAATGAAAGAAGTTTGTAGGCAGGAGAGGGGGCAAAGTAGGGCTTGGAGCCTTTGAGACTTCGGAAACGAGCGTTCCAAATGGCATAGCTTGTTAAATGTCCCCCTCTGTGGCCAGGCCGGTTTGTGAGCTCTGGGAAGAGTGAGTTCCTGTGCTTGAGGCTTTCTGAGAAGGCATAGAAATTCTACTTTCTCTGTTGATAGGTACAGCTGTTGCTTTGACTCTGAGGATTTTTACGTATGGACTATTTTACCACAGGGTTTCATTACAGCTTTTTGACCATTGACTTCACTGAACTGATTCTTTTTTTTTTTTTTTTCTCCTTTTTTTTCTCCTTTCTTTTACATTGTTCTTAGTGTCATCTTGGAGAAATATGATGCTACTCCGCTTAACTTGCTAGAAATATTTGCTTATCTATACCTCTGCTTGTGGTGCCTATTCTTTCTCAGCATAACCCTGCAGAGGAAGAAAAGCAGGCAAGCTGCAGAGGATTTCAAGAAGCAAAGCAGGATGGATGGGAAGAAGTGGTACCAAGTCACAAATGACCTAACTTCAGCAGAGTTCAAGCCTCTTTAAAGAGTTCTGTCGTCCAGGAGACTGAAAAACAAACAAAAATGGAAGGAGGCAACAGTCCACACGTGCAACTTCAGCAAGTCCCACTGGCCACAGCAGCAGTTTCTGTGCAGCCACACGCAGACTCCTTTTCTTATAAGGTCATATTTTTACTCCAGTCTACTCTTGGATGCCATAACTTCTGTGTATAAAAATTTCATTTAGAACACAGTTTTGGGTGGTTATAAAAGTTCTCCAGATTAACATGAGCTTTTTCCGGGCTTGCAAGTTTTTATGCAAGCTTTACTATCTGTTGTGGGAAGGTATCTCAGGTGTTTTTGAATGCGGCTAAATTGCCCACTAAACCAGCAGATGTTATAGGTGAGGTGGAGAAGAGCAGAATAGTTCTTGAAAGCTGATTCACAGAATGCAAATGTTTCTGATCCATGTGCTGCTGAATGCCAAGCCATTATGAAAACAGATATTTAAAGGAAAGAATGAACGAATAGGTTGCATTTAGCAGTCTGTTCTTTCCTGCTGAGAAATGTTCCTGCAAAGATTCCAAATATGCGCTTATTAATTTAGCTCTCTCATGAAGTGTCAATTCATAATGGATTATCTTCTGCCTGAGTTTCACAGATTTGGAATGTAGCTACAGAAAAGTTACTTGAATTTCCCTGTCACATGGAGAAGATAAAAACAGATTTTATTGCCGAGTATTCGAGGGAACCATTTTAATTCTGCTGTCTTCCAGATTGTGCATGAAACCCCAACTTCTTTCAAGGTCCAGTAGGTAAATGTAATATCTTTATATTTATTTTGTTTTTACAGGAGAATTTGATTGGTGCATTACTAGCTATTTTTGGGCATCTTGTTATCAGTATTGCACTCAACCTCCAGGTGAGTATCGTGAAACAAATATTGATCCTGCCTCAAATATCCTGTGTTAAAAAGTGTCATGCATGCCACAGCTTCTGTGCCTTTATCCCCTTTTTCTAGAAATACAGCCATATCCGGTTGGCAGGTTCCAAAGATCCCCGAGCCTATTTCAAAACCAAGACATGGTGGTGTGGACTTTTTCTCCTGGTTCTGGGAGAACTGGGGGTGTTTTCTTCTTATGCCTTTGCTCCTCTTTCACTGATTGTGCCTCTCAGCGCAGTGTCTGTTATAGGTAAGAGGAAAGAGATGACTGACATGCAAGTCTGAAAGCGTTTTAGTGTGAGACAACTGATTGCTGGACCAATATATAGATCATCCTGTTTCTCTTTTTTTTTTTTTTTTTTTTTTTCCTTCCTGTCTTTACAGCTAGTGCAATCATAGGAATTATATTTATTAAAGAAAAATGGAAGCCCAAGGAATTTTTGAGTAAGTACTGCAGTTCCTTTTCACTTTTTTCCTCCCTTCACAAGCTGACCTAGGTCGTGCTTTGCATAAGAGTCAGGCATGGTGAACCTGGGTCCCTGGCACTGCGTTTGCTTAGGTAGAACTGAATCACCCACATTTCATGCATACGTGTGTTTGCAGAGCTGGAACATTCATTCTTCTGCTTTCTGGAAAATAGGCTGTAGGCAGTGCAAGGCATGATAAGCCCCAGATGCAGATCTTGTGACTACAGTTATTTTAGCAAATGCTACTTGGTATGAGTTTTTTTTTTTTTTTTTTTTTTCTCAAATCGTGGCATATTTATTGCCTGAGGTTTCTTAATTATAACAATTTGAAAGTAGGGCATGAAGGGCAGAGGAATGAGTCACTTGGAGGACTGTGCATGGTGTCATGGCCATATGCACATGAGATCGTAATTCCATACATCCATACTAACCCACTAACTGTCCACTTCTTCCCTTTTTTTTTTTTTTTTTTTTGCCTTTGGTCGCCGAAGGGCGATATGTTTTGTCCTTTGTAGGTTGTGGTTTGGCAATTGTTGGAACTTATCTGCTGATTACGTTTGGACCTAATAGTCATGAGAAGATGACAGGAGAAAATATCACTAGGCATTTAGTGAGCTGGCCATTTCTGTTGTATATGGTAAGATAGCCCATAAAATACGGGAATGTTTTCTGCCATATTCCTGGTTGAGAGGTTTTAAAGTATTTTTCGTTATGAGTGCTAGAGGTATTTCTTTGTACTTGCTAATGGACTTATGTCACTTTTGCCAGTGTCAGTTTCACAGTGCACGTGCAACTTGTAACCCTACTGTTCTCTCTCTGAATTACTCTGTTAGAATTTAAGTATCTTTACCTGAAAAGTTTTAAAATAGCTTGCTCTCTCCCTGACCTGTCAGCTTCAGCCTGTGGAAGTAGTATTGATGGCAGCTGAGAGCAACTGTCCAAGAGGTGCCCAAATGTTATACTTGATCTGCGCTTTCCCTAGACAGACGTTTTTTCTTGAGCCATCACTGTCTCATTAATAATATTGTAAAATCTGTTTAACAGAGATAAGTTTGGCTATTAAATTAGATGTTTGCTGCAGGGGTCATTTACACAACCTCATTATGGAAAATAGGCTGATATTTGTGATATCAGTGTTTGATTGGGATTAAACTTGGTCTGTAATTGCGTACGATCCTCATTTTCCTTTGATTTGTCCTGTTTTGTGATTTTTAATGTCTGACTTGTTTGGCATTGCCAGTAAATGGAATACTGAACTCCACATCTGATGGTTTCTCTTCTCTTGTAGCTTGTAGAAATCATCATATTCTGCCTGCTACTGTATTTTTACAAGGAGAAAAATGCAAACTACATTGTAATAATTCTCCTGTTGGTAGCTTTGCTGGGTAAGTTGATATGGATTGTTTTGAAAACTTCCTTAGTCTTATTAATCATGTCAGTGTGTCATCAGAAATGATAGCTTTTATCCTTCCGTAGTATGATTGTGTAATAATGTTTAAACGCTTAAGACAAGTGGTAGATGCTCCTAGCCCTGTTGACAAGAAAAACTGTAATATCGAAATGTTGTGATTTACTGAAGGTCACAGTGGTAATGTTGTTGGGAATATAACTGATGTTTAGAGATAAGATACCTTCCATGCAAGAGAAGGGTTTGAGTATGTGTATATCTTGACTTTGTTTGCAGCTGCTCATCACATATAGAGTGAATGTGCAGTGTTCTTGTCCTGCTGAGGACATAGTTCAGCTGTATTTTCATAAACATTTGCAGGTTCCATGACTGTTGTGACAGTGAAGGCTGTGGCAGGCATGATTGTTGTCTCAATACGAGGAAACCTCCAACTCAACTACCCGATATTTTATATCATGTTGGTGTGCATGATTGCTACAGCAGTCTTTCAAGCAACGTAAGACTATTTCTCTCTTCCATAACTGTGCTGGTTTGGCAGATCTCTAGCTAGTGAGATGTTTGTTATTGATTTCCAGAATGCTGATCAAATTTTAGTGTGAAGGTCTGGCCTCTTGTGTCACCTGTCTTCAAATCTGTGTCACAGGAGCCTAAGATAGCATTCTTTGCTTTTCCATGTAGTGACATTACCAAGTAGTATTGATCTCAGATTTATAGATCATTCTAGTATTTGTAAAACACCAGCATGAATGAAATGGTGGCTAATGAAATACAGTGTATTTGCACTGACTGAAATCAAAGTGCTCTGTATTTTTCCCCTTTGTTCTTACGATAATGTAAAAACACAAGCAGCAGCAAGGATAAGGAGCTGTTCAGAATGCAAGTGATGTCCTGGCCCCAATGTCAGTGGTTGTAATTGAACTGCCTTTAGTTAATACAGCAGAATGTTCATTCATCTATCATTTCTATTAATTCTAGGGGATGCTTATGTAGGTGTACTGAGTAAGAGTAAAGTTTCTTAAATGTATTCACCAGGTACTTGAAAGGTACCTCCAGAAAGGAGAAGTGGGCTGGTTGATGTTAACTACTGCAGTTCGAGTATTCTTCCCAAGTTAACTTCTGTCATCTGTCACTGCGTTGCAGATTTTTAGCTCAAGCTTCACAGCTCTATGATTCATCTCAAATTGCGAGCATTGGCTACATCCTGTCCACAACAGTAGCTATCACAGCAGGTAACAGTGCTCAAAACAGCATGTTGATTCTTTCTGAAAGAGGGGCAAAAGACTTTGGAAAATAATTCTTAGCTACAGCTGAGGAATGTGAATACCCAGCAAGACAATGACTTGTATTTTCTTGTCATCACTCTTCTGGAGCTGATTTGCTTTCCCTTTTTTCCTCTCTCAAAATGTGAATTCATTTCATTTAACGTGTTTTCTTTTTCTGGTCACACCTGTTATGAGTTTCTTCTTGATGGTTTTGTTTGCATTGTATGTAGGATGCAACTGCTTTCAACTTTGTAGGTACTTTTCATTTTGTACAGATGACTCCAATCTTAGACCTTAGCTGCACAGAGGAAGTTTTGTCTATGAACAAAGATGAGCATTTTAAACCCACTTAGGCTTGAAACCTGAGGAAGCGCTTTGAAGGTTTTTCTTAGATGTATGAGTAAAACTGGGAAGAAGAAAAAAGGCACTAGAGAAAGTATTCATCACAATAAAGCAGATGCACTGTCTGTGTAAATAGTAATTCCCTCCTAGATACATAGGGACAATAGTCCCCTGCCTCCTTAAAATTACGTATTGCCTTTTAGTTCTGTTCAACACCGTGAAAGACTGTGGCCTACTTTTTGTCTAATGCTTGTTCCCTGTCACGTTCCAAGTCACATGCTACTCTCAGATTAATCAACTTTATTTACCTCTATTAGAGATGTAGAATTGGAGCCAAGGTGTGTAGGTCAGGCTTTTTATCCTGTTGACATCTAGGGCAACAATGACATCTGTCATCTTATGTTTTTAAGCTGTGTATGCTTAATTGAAGTCAAGGGTTTTTATTCTGTTGTAGTTAGAGAGATCCAGTTTGGTCTCTTGTTCAGTCTTGGGGAGTGTGGTCTCTTGTGTTTATATGGTAATAACTATCTGGTGAGAATTCAGCTTAGGCTCATTTGCATAGTGACCTGCAACAGTTCTAACACTATTTCCTTCCCTACCCCAATATTGGAAGCTTTGTACTAGTTGCTGTGCTGCTGTACAGGTTTACTTGTGGCCATAGTAATTGGACTGTTATTTTGGTGGTCAAATTCTAAAAGGTTTGTAAACGTATGGTTTCTGTTGCAGTGGTAATCAGACCATGCTTTTCTGTATTAAGACCATAAAAAAAAAAAAAGCCAACTAAACATGCTAACTATACAAACAGTGATCTTACATGACTTAGTTTCTGGAGGGAGCAGTACTAGAGATGCAGCAGTAATTGCTCATGTTACCTGGGAAGAAAGCCATTGTGAATTATTTCCTTTTGAAGGAGCAACTTTCTACCTGGATTTCACTGGTGAAGATGTTCTTCATATATGTATGTTTGCACTTGGGTAAGTGTTTTAAGTTTCCTTGATAGAAAACTGAGTAGTTTTTCTTCATATGGCTAAATTTTAGAAATCCGTATGTAAGTACATGTGTATGTGTGTATACATGGGATGTGTAACCTACTGTGAAGGAGGACAAACTGACTGTGCTCTCTCTTAGAGCACACAGTGGCCCATAGTTCCATACCTTATCTGAGTGATGATGGATGCTCTAGAGGAATTTTATCACAGTAGGTTATGTATAGTTGTACAACTTCTGCACTTCACAGTAAATGTCCTGCTGACTGTACTGGAGATCCTATTGGGTGTTGAATCACATGGATTGTTTTTCCAAGTGTATTCACACCTTCTAAGGTGAAGTGGAATGCTCTCAGGCTATCTGCTCACCAATCTAGAATTGTAAAATAATCAGAAGCAGTGATCTCTTGGGCATCTATTTGAGCCTTCACTGTCTTATTACGAGACTTCAGGAATCCTGTTTCTTACGGGGCATGGCCATTCACACAATGCAGATATAATCAGTAAAACATTCACTTTGTAACTCAACGTTTAGTCCTAACTACAGTGTTTGATGTGATTAACTCTCCATAAGCAGGGGGCAACCTGAAATGCTTTCCAATTTAATACAGGAAAACAAACAACAGTTGGGAGTTTAGTATTATTAACTGTCTTCCTCTGTCAGCATGCTGTAAAAATGAAGATTGACAATTGTCAGTGTGTTTATCAATGGAAAACTTTGTATAGTTTAGGCTGTAAAATCCTGGAATGTCATCAAAGCAGATAAAATTTCTATATGCTTTCTTTCTGCTCTTAGTCAAGATTAATGTGAAAATTTCTCTCTGCATTTTGGTAAAGGTATGAAGTCGTGATTGCTAGTTACATTTCAGTACTGTCAAAAAGGGTTACTCAACTGAGAATTCTTTCTCACTCTGTAGATCTTTCTCTTCTAGTTCCGAGTTCTTCACTGTGCTAGGTGCTGATTTTTCTGAGGGCCTGTCATGAAGCATTGTCTCCTCTCCATTTTCACAGTCATATCAAAAGATCTTCTGTTTTTTCTCAGATGCCTCATAGCGTTTCTAGGTGTCTTCCTGATCACAAGAAATAGAAAGAAGTCTGTACCGTTTGAACCCTATATATCAATGGATGCTATGCCAGGTAACAATGGTTTATTGCCATGTTTCTTTTATTTGTTGGGTTTTCACTCAAACTTGAGTCTCTTTAAAGTTGTTCTTTGTTTTTCCATTCTCTTTGGTTGATTGTCTCGTGGAGGGGTGTGCATTCATGTTTTTTGTGAAGCAGGAAAGGCATCATTTTCCACTTTGGTGACACTTGCTCTGGGCCCTTTGATGCCAGAGAGAGCGTGGCAACAGTCCCATTAGCTACTGTCTGGGAAGATTACAGGTTTTGAGCATTTACTTGGGATTGGTCTTCATCAAGCAGGAAGAAGTGATTACTGGGGAAGACTGAGGTACATGGCAAACGATAGAGGCCAGAAGGAGCAGAAACTTATTTTTTGAAGTATAGCTAAACTGTCTTTCTGGTGATCTGTACAAGAAACATGTAGCATTTGATAAATACATGATTGCAATCCTGCATTCACTACAGCGTAATTTCCTCCATTAGTTGCTTTACTGCTTAGCTGAAAAGCATTCTTTCATTTAATGTTCAAGGATCTGACGAGCCACGTGCCAGTAACCCACAGCCTGTGTAATTTGGTGATTTAACAGAGTACAGGAAGAATGTGTTTTTGTTCCTAAACATTTAATCTCTGCTTTTGCTATTTTCAGGCATGCAAAACATGCATGACAAAGGGATTGCAGTTCAGCCTGACCTCAAAGCTTCCTTTTCCTATGGTGCCCTGCAAAACAATGACAGCATGCCAGAAATTTATACACCTGCTACACTGCCAATAGTGCAGGAGCAACATGGTTCCAGAGGAGTTTCTGCTCCACCATACCGGGTGCTGGAGCACAGCAAAAAGGAGTGAATGACCTTTAAGGAACTGATTTGACTCATCGGAAGTATGCCCTTTATTTATTTACCTGATTAAAATGTAGGCAAGTGTTAAGCCGACTTTGATATAGTTTAAAGTTTGTCTCAAACTTTACTTTAAAGACTGATTATTAAAATAAGCAACTCTCTGTAGCTGTGAAGTTGAAAGCATTCCTCTTAGCAAGAAGTAAATCACAGTCCTCTGTTGAAGGCTGCTGAGAGCATGAAATACTGAATACAGTATCGCGTCTTTAGGAAACTAATGAAATAGCAGATGCTGTGGGAAGAGAAGTAACCATGCAATTTCTAGCCCTGCTGGGAGTGGTTTATTTCCAAATAGAGGTTTTCAGGCGTTGTTCACAGTAAGATGAGGAAAGGATTTAATCTTTTACATAGAGAGATTGACGAATTTTTAGAAAAGTTGTAAACCCTCATGTTTCTAACGTAACCACCATGCTACCTTAACATGGCAATAAAATTTAATTATTTTCAAGCATGAACACTGAAACTTACTGAGTATTCTTGGGCTTTTCTTGTATAGCCATTCTCTGGCTTGTGTTGAATGTATGCACTGAGCACGTTAATTCTTTATCTAGCACCACTGGATTACATGGCAGTTTAGAACAAGGACTGTTTGCTATTTCTCTGGTTTCACAGAAAGAGCTTCAAGTTGCATCGAAGGCTACAGGGACAGCACTGTAGTAACGTGACTGGAAGGATATTTTAGTCGGTCTTGATGAGATTCCAATTCTTTACCATTTTTATTTTCTCTCTGTAGTCGAGATAGGGTTTGCAACTTTGTTTAGTAGTTTTAAATGCTTAAAGATGTCAGCATTCCTTTGGCAGTGTTACGGTGTTGTAGGTAGGGGTGCCATTTTATGCTCCTTTATTCTAAGAAGCAAAAAAGGTACTGTCCTAATACTGTGAATGACCTAGTAGGAAAAATGAGCACGCACAGTCCAGCGCTCAGTGAGAACTGCCAGAATAATGAAGCATTGTGTACTTAGATATTTATCTTTCCAGCTTCTAAGAGATGGCTGTAAGCTGTTACAAAGGGAGAAACAGACACAGGGGTGTAAAACGGTTAAGTGAAGGGGACAAAGTACAACATTTACAAGAGTATGCAGCTGTTCTTGGTATTTTGATATCTTCTCTGAAAGCAATAATTCTACTGGGAAACCAAATTTTAAGTTTACTTTGTTGTATTTTGGGTTGTATGCATAGTAGGGTGTCTCCGTGACCTTAGAAGACTTAATTTGAAATGAATAGTGAATGTGTTCTGTGCATTTTTAGGTGGTAATTCTGATACTAAGGGGCTCGGAAGGATCTTGAACTTAAAGTTGTGGCTTCCTGCATTTTTCCTTTTTTTCTTTTTTGACTCACAACTGGATTCTTTTTCCACTACCTGAGAGCTTATCTGACTTATAAATAATTCTACTGCTTCATGTTATTGCAGTTGACAACAGAACTACTCTTTTGCATATGTTTTCCTTGCCAGCTATGAATACTAATTTAATCTGGGAATACATGAGACTGCATTGGCAGTTTTGTGCAACTTAAATAAAAATTAACTCCTACCCCTGTGAAGTGAAGGTGCCTAAAGGCTGTGCATGTGCCTATATGTGAAGTTGCTTCTTCAGTTTGACATATCTGACAGTTGAAACTAGTGGCGTCACATACACTGCAGCTTAGGAAACCTCAAGAAATACCAACTTTTCTTTTGTCCACAATACTTTTTATGCTTAGATAAGATAACAGTGTTAATGGGCTAATTCTGCCAGTACATTAATCTTGTTGGAGTTGACACTGGTTCTACTGCCTGTGTCCCTGGTAATCGATTGTGAAGTTATGTGTGGCTTTTGTTCCTTGTAACACAAAACAAAGTAGTACAGTGGGGACTGGCTGGGAAGGGTATGAGTACAAGTATGGCTTGTCTCTTTCCTTCTAATGAATGAGGCAGTAGGTAATTGACCTAATAGTTCTGAAGGCACAGAAACAAGCTGTTTTAAGAGCAACTGTGCTAAACCTACAAACGCCACATTTTACATGGCAATACTGTTTAATTATTACAGAGATGGTACAAAATATGTAAGTAAAACGTTAATCAAAAGGATGTGAAAAGGGCTTGCTATTGAATTCTATTCATAGGGTGATCCTGTGTAGTTGAGCATTGTTTTCCCAGTGCTCAGTTTCTATGTAGTACTTAAAAACTGCAACTGATTGATGTGCAGACTTCACAGCCACTTGTTTTTTCTGGTTAGCTTTTTCTCCTAATTGTAAGGCTGTTTTTATTCTAACACCTTGCTTTTAGGAGCTTTCTGACAGCAGATTCCAAGGGAGGTAATTCCTATTGAGTAATGTGAAATATTGCTATTTGTGTGTCTATTTCTAGAGCACACAAATCAGTAGAGCCTGAGGAGTTTTTGGGGTTACAGGGTTGAACTCAGTGCGCTGATGTTGTGAGAGCTGCACTCTTGTCAGTCTGTTAGCCACGGTAAGCATAGTGGTAGGACTGCCAGACTGAACCTCACCCCTTCGTGGTGCCTATGTGCAATACCTGAATTTTAACTTTTTTTTTATGTACTTTCTCCTTTCTTGTTCTTTCTCACAAGCTTTCAGAAGATTGTACGTGCTGCTCTGCACTGTGTTTTTATAGATGCCGTCTCTGTTCCTGAGAAGGCACAAGTAAACTGAGTGTAGGGCTTATCCAGTCTTTCTAACAGAAGGAGGGAATAGCTCAGGATTACAATTACATCCTTACCTTTTCTCTAATTCAGATCTTGGAAACTGAAAATGAGAAGTCCTCTGTACCCTCAGACTTGTTACAGAATATTTCTAGGGCTGAGGTAACAGTGGTCATGCCTCGGATTGCAGCAGGCATTTACGACTAAACTGCCTCTAAAGATTTAAAGGAGAGCTGCATGCCACATGCTTTTTTTTTTTTTTTTTTTTTCAGCATGGAAAGTAACCTGTTCCTGTAAAGCACATCATTTAACACATGCAATGTCAAAGCTTCAGTTTATCGACAGCTGATCCACAGAGAAGTAGTGTGCTGTAAACAGTGGAGCATAGCTAGATTTCCAAATGTGCAGCATTTTGTTCAGAATCAAACACTGAAAAAGCGTGCACATAATCCAACTGACTGCTGTCTCCATTATGAATTGGGCAGAATAGGTCCTTGACTTTCTCCTAGCTTCTTTATCAAATGTGAACTGACTTTTGTGGCCTATACACTGTGTGGCTTCTCAGTGCACTTCATATGTTCTCACTGTATATCTTGCATATAGCTTTATGCTGTGGCATAGAGCTGCAGTGTTGACTGAACGTATAAAATGTTCATATGGAAATGTGTGTATAAATGTGGCTTTGCAGTGTTGAACCCTGAGGATGAACTGCTTCATTTTTTTTTTTTTTTGTAAGCAGTGTTGCATGTCTGTTTAATTCTGTCTTTTTGATGACCCCTCTGGAAATTTAACTTAATAAAAGATTCTGTTTAAAAACTATGGAATTCTGGCATGATAAATATTCTTGCTATAGCTTTAATCAGTTTTAATCAGTAAAAATCTTGAAGGAATTTAAGGCAGTAGTTGTTTACAACCATAGGCACTATGTACATCCAAAAAAATGGTTTTTAATTGTGTATTTGTAAATGAAATGCAGTTTGCTACAGCTGACGTTTGGGGCTGTAGCACCCTGAGGCATGTGAATTTACACGAGGCTCAAGTACTACCATTGCTGGCCTTACAGGACTTTTACAAGTGTTAGCATTTGTTATTTCAGAGAAGAGCTGGAAAACATGATCCAAGTGGAGCCTGGAGAAAGGCGAGGTTGAGGACGGGAAGCCAGGATGTGCTCTATGACTGAGGACCTGATCTGCGGTTTCTGCACACCTGCCAGTTCAGCACTGAGGTGAAGAAAGCATCATCTTTGGGACAGCACAGGCCTCTGATACACGTTGGGGACAATGCACTTGGGAAATGCCATCCTTCAGGTACAGGCTGCTGTGCCTCAGGGCAGCATACGGCCATTTCCTAGCAATGCCAATTAAGAGACATGAACAGCCATAAATTCAAAATACTGGCACTATCTAACGAGCGGCACTAATGAATGCTTGCCAACCTAATTAACACTCGCTGCATGGGGTTTTGTCCAGGGGGACAAGGGGTGGAGTTATAACCCTCGGGGTGCTCTTAATTAAATGTATCTCTTGGGGTCCCAAACCACAATTGGGGAAAAACAACCTGGGAGCAGTCATGTCCACTGTGGCCTTACAGCTGTCCTACGTGGTACTCCTGGCTAGGCCTTAAGGCAGGGGCTCATTCTTTCCTGTATGTTTGCCGAAGCAGCATCCCTATGCTATAGCTTGTGATGAACAGGTGCTGCCATGTTACTGCCTCATCCAAGAGTTACTGGGTGGCAGCAGACGATGTCAAGTGGTGGCATAAAGGTGACAAACTGATGTTGGGATCTGGACAGCAGCGGTTGAGGTGTATGAAGGTGTGTGTACTTCTGTGTTCCTGAGATGGGCACAGCTGTGGGTGGAGAGGAGACAGTGTGAATAATGGCTTTGACTGCAGCCAGGAAAGGGAGAGAATGATTAGGATTTCCCCGTTGTTGTCGAAATCTGCACTGAATCTGCAGAAGCCCTTCTTAGGTTTGACCAATTCTCTGCTTTCCTGTGAGGGAAAGGATCAGCTGAAGATTATTATCTACCCTTTTCCATGTCCGAACTTCAAAAGTGCATTTAAACCGCAGAAACGTCTGTCTTTATGTCAAAGCCCGGACTGTGTGCGGGCTCTTCCTAGTCAGTGACGTTCGTTCTGCAGCCTGGCGGCCACTTCTCCACATAACGATCCGCTTTGGAGCCTCGGGATCCGCCCAACGCAGCCCTTACAGCCACCGACCCCCATCGCAACGGCCTGCCCAGAGGCGCTGCCCCTCATTCGGTCTCGAGAAGGCGGGCATGGCGCACCCGCAGCGTCGCACCCTCCATCCCGGTCACCACCCTCTCCTCCCCAGCTCCCCGAGGCGATGCGGGATGAGGGACAGCGCACGCAGGCGCGCTTGCGCCGTTCTCCGCCCGCAGGGATCGTTCCGCACGGCGCCGGCTGCCGCCCCCCCTCTTGGCGGCTTGTCTCGCTGCTGAGGGGACCCTCGCTGAGCCGTCGCCGCTCTCCCGCCGCCATCTCTTGTTCCGCCGCCCCTCGGGCGTCGAATGTCTATCCTGAGGTGAGCGCGGTGTAGCGGGAGGGCACAGCCAGGCTGAGTGGAGCGGTTCCTTAAGCGCTGCGCGCCCCGTCTTCACACGGGTGTGTGTGTGAGAGAGCCTGGAACCCGCGGCGCTGCCGCCCCCCGTCGCCATCGCTTCTCGCGATCTGGAAGCTGAAGGGCGGTGCGCCCTGGGCTGTGCGGGGTGGCCCAGCTCCGCGGCTCTCAGGTGAATCTGGGGGCGGTGGGGCTCTGTGGGGCGGTGTCGGAACAGGGGCTGCCCTCAGAGCTGCCCGGAAGAGTGAGCGCAGCGCTGCGCTTCCGGTGCGGGGATGGCTGGACGGAGCGTTCAGCTGCCGTCCTGCTCGGGGTGGCCCTTCTGGCCCTGTTGCTTTCTGCCTCGTCCGTTAACGCCTCTCACGGTACTGTTTCTGTTAGTACTTAACTAACGATGGTGCATTGGTGTTACACATCCCATCCCTGGGAACCTCTTCCACGTTCTGAGAGTGGTTAGTTACTGTTGTGTAACCCCTGGGATGGAGTTGGACAAAACTAGCGTTAACCTTGCGGGTTTATAGTTAAACTATATATAAGCTATAGTTAAACTATATTTGAGTGGCAGTGCGTTCCTGTGTGGAATGTGTTTGTAAAATGGAAGCGATGCTTTTCAGAGTTTGGAGCCTTCTATGGAAACTTCTCAGGTTTGTTTTCCCGCTTGCAATAGATGCTGTGTTGCAAAACATGCAGAACTGTTCACTTGTTGCTGAGATGTTTAATTAACTTGTACAGAGTTTTCCCTACAAGCTGTGTGCGGGAGATGAAGGGCATAACTGCTTTCCCTCCATGGAGTCAAAAGCGAGTGAGAGTGTATCCTTGTTGTCTAAAGAAACACGATGACTTCTCCAGTAAAATTCAAAATTTGTTACTTATTGAAAGAAAAGGTGATCTCCCTTGCAGCAGTGGGGATGCTCAGGCAATTCCAGTGTTGTTCAGACATCTCGTTTGAGACTTGCCATCATCACATAGGACAGAAAACAACTCACAGTGTAGTATTTTGTTGCCGTAATTGAATGCATTTTTGTAATGGCAGACCCTTACCAGGAGCTCTAGAACACAGTGCTGCATTGGTTGAATGATGCTCAGAGATACTATGAAGTCCTGGAGCGACAGCCAGTCTGATCTGTACAGCAGTGACCAAGAAGAAGAAGAACAGATGATTTTTGGAGAAAATGAAGATGATTTGGAAGAGATGATGGATTTAAGCGACTTGCCTACCTCACTGTTTGCTTGCAGTGTGCATGAAGCGGTGTTTGAGGTACAGGAGGAAAAGGTAAAGTGAAATGAGGTGTAAAGTGAAATCTGGCTTCGGCACTGCAAGTATAGAGGCAGCAGGGGATGTTTTGTCTGGTACTGCTGTGTGTTGTGCTGAGGGGGAGGAAATGATCTACCCAAATTATTTACCAGTGAGTTCAGATCAAGAATGAGTAGATTTCCCAAGAGAAGATAGTAATGCAGTGTTCAGGCATTTGGAATTTCTAATAGTGGTGATGGGGCTCCTCCTACAAAAAGGCTCTTCTGATTTTTCTTTCCATGCAAAGTACCAAATTTAAAGGAAGATTTATGTATAATCTGAAGGCGAACGTCTGTGTTTTGCTTCAAGGCAAGGATTCTCCTAAAGATTATAGGAAATTCTTAGAATGCATGTTCTGCTTTGAACTAAAATAACTTCTTGATAGTCGCTTAGGTATTGATAATAAACTAAATCTTCTCTGGGTTGCTAATCTTTGTATTCAGTCAGATTTGTGCGTGCTCTTTGCATCTGAGAGCACCAGGAATGACTGTTGGTAGCTCATGAGTATTTGAGGAAAAAAATGAAGAGGGCAAGGTGGCATCTCCCTTCCTGCATACACCTGTAAATCTCGGATGACTAAATTGTTCCTGTTTCTGCATTCTCTGAAGCCTCTTGAGAGTGGCGTACCCTCCAGTTGGGTCAGTGGTTGTTACCACTTATAGAAGAGGGCAGTGAAAGCAGCAGCTGATCAACGAAACATTAAGTCTTGCACCAGACTGATTCAGCTCTGCTACAGAGACAGCAGTGCCCCATAATTCATTATTTGATCTGGAAAGTGTGCGCTGGAAATGCTGCCTGTCTAAATTACATTGCATGTCTGCCTGGGATTTGTCACTTTTAGGCACGTTTCCTTTTTCTGTGAAGGTATTCCCACAGTCCGTCTGAGCATATCAGGTGTGTTGAGGGCAATGTGTTCTTCTCTAATGATACCAGAGTAATTGGATGCGCTATGAAGCCATTGGTGGATGTAACCACTTCTGGTTAATTTCAAATGTTATTTGGGAAATGGTGATTACACTAGATTGTAGTTCTGCATTTGTTCATTACCAAATTTGGTGAGAGTGCAGAAGGAATGGATTTTCTGATTTAATGAAGACCTTGAGATGGTGCAGCTTGCAGAAAGAATTGCTAAACTAATAATTCTAAAACTAACGTGGGTATCATCTGTAGAGTTTCTTTTGTCCTAATTGAAACGGAAGTCAGTGGCAACCTCGTCCTATAAGTATTATTACAGGAGTCAAAGGATTTATGTAAAGAGACTGGAGTCTTTTGAAACGAAACAAATAAGTTTTGCCTTTGGAAAGAGTTCTTAAAAGTTGTTCTTCTCTGCTCATTTGCTTACGTAGATCTCTGTGAGTAACTGAATGTTATCAATGCAGAGTAAATAAAATTGAAAATATATCGTTTGCATTCTTCTGCTGATCTGAATTTGATTTTTTTCAGTGAGTGAGAATACCTGTAGTTAAACTGGGGGGAAAAAATCTGCAAATTAGGTTTTTAATAAAAATGAACTAGTAAATTAAAACAAGTTGAACCTTTAACAATACAGTTATGTTCAATCTCCTCAATGATTAATACGATTTCTAAATAAATAATTTTTTTTTTTTTTTTTTTTTTTGCTTTTTATAAAAAACAGTATTTGGTAATAAGTCTTTCTCTCCTAGAGAAATCTCATTAATCCTGTGTTTTTTGTTTTAGCTTCCTTAATCGTTCAATGCTTTATATTATCACGCCTAAAAAAGCATCTGTGATGCCCAGGTGAAAGTCAGGTTCCAGCGTGCAGCTATTTTTGTCGACTGCGCTTTTGGGTAACTGTCGCTAGATGGCAGTACTTGGGAGCTACAGGGGCTTTTACATATCAGTGTACTCCTGGAATTTTAGTAGTGAGATAAAGCAGTCAGGGAGAACTATGAAACGTGCAGGCTTAGAAGAGTGTTAAGGAAA